TAATATTATATTAATAATGTATTAAAAACATGTATGTTTTTTTAAAAACAGTCTCAGAACTTTCTCAGGTTTCTACGTATATTTTATCACATATTCTTAAAGTTGTGTCATATTTAATTATATAATTATTTCAATTAGTAATATAATATCCTTACGCTAAAAAAACCTTTCCTTCCTATCATTCACTTATACAGTCAATACCTATTTTTCACGAAAATCGATCGTCGATATCTATATATTAAAAAAATCGTTTATTTATATAAAAGATTCAACGTGTATTCTTTGCCACTCAAAGTGGTACAAAGTAAGAATTTGTTATACTTAAATGATTATCTGTCACAGCCTAGATTTCGATAGATAAACCAAGACAACCCTTTCATAAAATATCCAGATATTGTGGTTGTCATAGGTGAAAAGAAGTGTTTTCTAGGCTGATAAGTGCTTAATTCATCATAATTATTTAGAACAGGACGTTTAATGTTTTTTTTCTTGCGTAGGAGATGAATTATTACAAATTGTAAAGTCATCTATTTAAATATTAGTTGTACATTATAATAAATTCCAATCAATATTAATGTCAGCAAACGTTACAAAGTATTCTTTTTTCTCCTTCCAAAATAGAATATTCTGAAGGAGAGAATCCTAATAAAAATAATTTAAGAAATTAATAGAATTTTTGAGTTGATAAATGATCACTTTGTAATTTTTGCTTAATGTTTAACGTCCCACCCGAAGATTAAAGTAAGATTACGCATAATACTTTTACAAATTCTACTCACCTTAGGTTAACGGGTAGTTCATTGATTAGCAGTTTCGAGTAAGTAAGCCTATCTTGTGATTGTAGTCTCCTCTCCATTAAAAGACTCTTGATTAATTATATTCAGTTTCTAAATAAATATTATTAAGTACTGGAACGTGGAAGATTCTTGAAGATGGAAAAGGCTTTTTTTTATTATCCATAATGATTCTTAAAGAATCAAATAGACAAAAAATTGCCAATATTACAAATAATTATTAAAAAAAATACAGGCTCTTTGAATCACGGACATAATATTGCAGTTTTTACATTATGAAAAACGTAAGTCTTTCTCTTTCTTCATATCTATTATAAAAATAGAAACTTCTATAATAATTGGATAATTACATAAATTCAGATTTTTACATATTAAAAAAAATATAAAGCTCTGTTCTAGATATAGTACCTATTAGGAAATTTTTACATTAAAAAATTTCAATCACATAAGTATTTTACCGATAATTTTCTACAGTACGTTTTAAGTTGTATTTACTTTCGTAAAACATTTGTTTGACTTGTCTATTAATAATAACTATTATAAATTGTAATTTTTCCCAGTTATATAAAGTTATATAAAGTACAATAATATCAGACTTTTTTAAAAAGAGGAATAAATCATACAACATCCGAAGATGTTTAAAGAAACTTTTTTTGAGAATATCAAACCTTTCCTATGTGTAGAAGATATAGAAAATCGTTGAACTGAAAGCAAAATCAAGATCATCAAATTTTGTGTAATATTTCAAATAGTAAAAGCCATAATCTGTAAATTCACAAGTCATAAATATATAATTCCACATCAACAACTGCGGGCTCACGATATTTTACTTGTATTAGATTTATATTTTTGGAGAATAAATCAACAAATATTTTATTTTATTTCACAAAAGATGAATTATGTATGTAATTAATTCATAGAAGACAAAGTAATATTGATTAATATTAAAAATTAAGTTGGTATATATAAGCTGGTAATTAAATACCTTTATTTTTTTACGTTGCTATAAATTAAGATTCTTTACAAAGTATTGGATATTATAGTTGTAAGTAGTACTGCGTATGTATTATATATTGTATATATGATGTATAATAACTTATATACTAAGCTAATTACTGAAAATATTCAGAATTGTGATTATATCATAATTCTGTGATATAATTATACTCATCATACCTACTATAATATATTAATTTTTGAAATAACTCAAATATTGGAAATCTTGATTGAATTGAAAATGAAATTTTAGTCGTGACATTTTTGTTGTCGCTTATACATTGATTAGTTTTATAATTCAGGTAAAGAGTATAAGATAATAAGCAGGGAAAATGCAGTTTAGTTAATAAAAAAATTAAATTATAGCCTTTCAATGATAAATAATGATAATAGTAAGGTTTTTATCAAAAGAATAATTGAATAATACAAATTTAGAATAAATTTAATAAAGCAATAATAATCAGGCAAAAATATATTACGGAACAAAAAAGTATGCCGTTATGTCTCTTTATATTATTTACATTTCCCAAGATCTTTAAATAAATTGTAACTTCAAATCTTACTTCATAGTAAATGTATGCATCTCATATTTGTGATACAAATATAATATGAAAATCTAAATTACTGATAATTTTATCTAATACTCTTATGGACATGATCATACTCTTCGTCCAAATTTATATATATCGTAGAATATAGAATACATATATTAACCCTTAAAAACCCTTCTCGGTGTAAGATACCTAGTTTTCTTTTTTCAATGCTTTTCCAATGCTTTTTTCATTGCTTATAACTTTTTTATTAATATAGATACATACATTTACTTGATACGTTATATTCCTTAAAGTCCGACGTTATTATGATTAAAAAAAATTTTTTTAATAAGTACGTTCATTTTTATGAAAGTTATAAGCAATCCAATTGGGTTAAATACGCTATGTGTCGTTTCCGTAGCTGGCGTTTAAGGGTTAATTATAAAGTAAGACTCAAATTTATAGTTTTTAAATCATGATTCATGCCGGAAGTAAAATTGCGGAATAAATTGTGTCCAATCAAATATCGGGTGTGCTAAATATTCCTTTTCAATTAATGATATTTTGCATGAATCTAAATAGAAACAGCAATTTAAAGCAGATTTCTAAGACACACATACTACACTAATAAGGGTCATTTCTTTAATAACATCAATATCATTATTGATATTCAATTGGAATACATGCTCGAGAAGAAAGTCATCTGGAGGACACAGAATCCGTCAAAGTATACAAAACATTATGTTTAAACTTTAAGCCCAAATTCTCACGCGTCGTCTACTCGCAAGTCGAATCTCAAATTAGCATGTTAATGCCATCGATGTCCAACATCATACTTGAAAATATTCTCTCAACTACTCCTTCCCCATTTCCTCGTTAGCAGATATAAGTATAGTAGAAGAATACAGATGAAACAACCGCGCATAAAGGCAATTCAGAACAGTTAGTCAGCAAATCAAGTTCTGCCCTAGATTCAATTCTGTCCAATCTAATTTTGCCCTATTGCCTTTTGCATTCTTAGGACAAATTCTGATTAGCTATAATCAAATCGGCTATATATCCGTCAAGTTGTTTTACTTGTCTTCTTCCACCATGGCCTATAAGGGTAAAATAATATAAAAGTGAGGAATGAATGAAGGACATAGCACGATTATGTCAATCAAGAAAGTAAGACTTTGTATTGTGCATATTTAATATCGTCGACGTTTGGTGGGATAATCATCCGGGCGATTTCGGTCATTTCCTTGCCAACGTCCACTACCTCCGCTACCTCCACGACCACCACCCATATTTCCCATATCAACCCTCATATCCATTAAATCCATTATTTGCCCACGATCGTCATTATAACCCCCTCGACTACCGCGATCCATATTGTATGCGTCCATAAATGACTTTGGGTCCTATAGAAACGCATAGAGAATGCGAATCATATAGGGAAGTCGAGAGTTTGTTGTTAATCATTGATGAGAATGTCGTTCACATCAGAGGAACGCACGATACGCGTGTGCGCATGAATTGCGGATGTACCATAAGTACATTCCGTACGATTCAGGGCGACCATCCATGTTTGACAGCAGCACAGGTCATCGTCAATTTTCGTCAAATCACATAGAAAAGAAAGGGGAAAACACAATGTTAGATTGCTATTTGCGTATCAATAGTAGTGCAAACTGCACATTAAATACTGTTCTTATTAATATATCCTTTTTATAGCGGATATGTTTTGTGACAATCAAAATCAGACCAAGAAAATGCCCAATATAGACAGATAATATTTCTGTTATATATGAGTGGGCTGTATTCCAAAATTGATTAGTACTGAAAATCTATAATATAATATAATATAATATAATAAACTATAGATTTTCAGCGCTAGCAGTTTTGGAACACAGTATGTTGTTTACGCGGAATTTTATAATCGCACACATATTACTTCTCTTAATCATTCTTCAACTCAAAAATAAAAAGCTTGAAAATTACATTTCAAACATAACATTAAATATAATCGCAGAGTATTATACTTCTGAAATTGAACTCCAAATTAGAGTTGAAGTACAATTAAGATAAATTCATATAGGAATCGTTGCTATTTTGACACATATAATTAAACCAATATATACATATAGGATGTCTCACGTAACTATGATCACGATTTTTTCGGCACTTCCGATCTAACAAAATTACTTTAAATATAAGTTAGTCAGTTTTCAATCAGTTTCTACAAATTGCATTATTAAAAATTTACAAAATATTCTTTTTTAGGAAAAAGGTCAAGATCATTCTAACTTTTTTAAATGGCACAATGTATTTTTTATTTCATAATATTGTAACTGATATTAAGATGAATTCAATGACCTTAAAATGATTTAAAAGTCAGACATGTGGGATCAATGAACGGAAATGTTTTCGTAAAAAATTATTTGTATTAAATTTTATGTAGACATATTCTACTACAGAAAAAGATTTTTGTATTAGCAGCATATTAATTTTATCATTAGGAATATATTTTCGATAAACTGAAACTGAACTACGATTTGTTTTAATGACAAATTAAGATTAAACTAAGAACTATCGTAACAGCATTCAAGCTACAAGTATTACAAATTATGTTGACATTTTTTCTATGTACTACATACGTACTACATACGTACACGTGTGTAATAAATTGTGAACTACATTCGGAAATACCACGAATTCAGCAATGGCTACATCGGTTCCTCAATTTGTCTACATATATTTTTTCCACTGAACAATGTAAAATATGTAAAGTTTAATACAAAATAATTTTTCATGAAATTTCCTTTCATGTTACGTAGTACCATTTAAAAAAAATTAGAGTGATTTTGACTTTTTTCCTAAAAAAGAATATTTTGCAAATTTTTAATATTGCGATTTGTAGTCGATTGAAAACTAACTTTTATTCAAAATAATTTTTTTCAAATCATCGGAAATGCCAGAAAAATCGTGATCACAGTTATATGGGATTTTGTATACATTATATGAAGAGCAGAATTCCAAAATGCATTTTGTCCAAAATTTCATTTTCTTAGAAATGGGATAGTGTTCAGTATTGAAAAACTCATAAGCTATCTACTCTGAGATGTTCAGAAAGCATTTTTTCATCGTTAATTTATATGCTGAAAAAACATAGACATTTCGAAATATATTGTTTTTTAACTAGAGATAAACAAAATGCATTTGTTGTACATTTTTAGCAATTTTGTTTAATATTTCACATCCTACTGATTAGCATATTGTTATTTTCCGTAAAGTGCGTAATTTTCTTGTATAGAGTTTCTTTCTTTCTCGTTTTCTGAAAATTACAAATTTTGAATGAAACACATTTTGAAAGTCTGCTCCTCATTTACACACACACACACACACACACACACACACACACACACACACACACACACACACACACACGCACGCACACACACGCACGCACGCACGCATATATATTTATATATTGGATATATTATAATGCGAAAGTAAGAATGAAAAATTCATTTTATTTTGTATATCACACAATGAATAAACAGGAATTGTCGATGTTTCAATTTGTAGACGTAAACCAGTATTTGTAGATGTAAACCCAGTAATAAATGTAACACCTATATATTCTATATAATGTGTTAACCTAAACAGAATTTTTTCTAAATTTCCCAACCCCAATAGAGTATATATAATTATTAGTCACACAATTATATATTCGGTAGAAATTACGAATCTACTACGAGTGAATAACCAAAGTGAGATCCTAGTATAGATACATATAAAACGAATACTTCCGAATAAAAACGTATAGCAAATCGTTTTATCGTATAGCGAATCAGTTTTGCACATTAGAAAGAAAACGTCGAAGATAATTACCATTTCTTAATAGTAAAGAACTAATACTAAGCACACAATTTTGAAACATCGAGCACAAACGCAAGCAGCAAAGAGGCGTGATCAAAGTCTCGAAGCAAACTCTATTGTGCTCGTAATGTTTCAAAAATGTATCGTAAATCAGTACTATGCATAAAATATTCCTACAATGAGCATATATAAACATATGCATTAGTAATATTAGCATTAGCAATCCACAAACAACGTGCTTTCAAGTATCAAGAGATATAATCGTTCAAGTTCACAAGTTTCGATTAAATAAAAATAAGATTCAAATGTTACTGGCTGGAAATTCTGCAAAAATATGCATTTTTGGAAATATTTCTTTGAAAATATTCTTATAAATAATAGTTTAATACTTTAATATATAATTATTTAGAAAAAGTCTAATTGGGCACTTCTTGGTCAATAGAATTACTATGGAATCATATCATTTCGTAAAGCCTTTTTGCTACATTCTTTTTCATATTTTATTACAAAAAGTGCCATGATATCAAATTGAATACCGAATTGAATGTATGTGTCAATGTTCCATAGTAAATGAAATTATTCTTAAGGCTACAATAGAATAATATGTCAGAGTCTCCTGTCTGCAATCATGTGGAGAGACCAATATGGCAATTACATTTGTAGATGTAAATAATTATTTTTGGAGGCATAAAAAGTTTAGATTTGTAATATATATTTAATAATAATAATTATTATATATATTACAATCCAAGAGCTAAGTGTGGCATGATCGTACAAGTCAATTTCGAAAAATCA